TATTTTTGTAATATAGATGTGATGGTCATTTGTTCCTTTGTATTTTCATAATGAACTTGCTAGACACAACAGTAATATTATCGTATTCGCTCTAGTGACAGTTTTGCATAGTGTGTATGGCGGGGTGGGTCTTGAGTGTGTGGCAGGGTGGGGGAGGGTCTTGACAAAGTATAAACTTTGTCATCTACTTTTAGTAGTTACCTTGACGTCAGCTTAACTCGATCCCACTAGACACACGATGCATTTTATTACTATTAAGATACTGTATTGTAAGATTTTTTATAAGATATTGTACGATTTTGGGAATTCGAGGTAAACAGATTTTTTGTATGTATAATTAAAATACCCCAACAAATGGAAAATGAATCCAGAGACCCACCCGTATAAGTATAGAAATGCTTGGAGTACATTGGACAAGGAATCATATCGTTTAAAAGTGTTAGAATACTGCAGACCTGTTTACCCCCAAACTCTTAAAATCGTACAATATCATCACAAAATCGTTCTATTTGTATCTTTATAGTAAAAAATAAACATACAATATATGTAATGTATGCACCTCAAAATAGCACATTGTATGCCAAAATCGTAAGAGTAAACAGGTCTGATACTGTGAGCTTTGTGAAATGAATGCGATCTTGCCCTTGCAACAGTGAGTAAAATTGTGCTATCTTTCTTCAGCTTGCACCCATGCCAATTATATATGTATAATTTGTTTAACATCATAGGGCTACTACATTACCATTCATGTGACACCCGAGCCACATTGCAGCTATGTCAGCTTTGAAAGCAATGTACCTCAGGTAATTATGAATGTGTTGCTTTTCTTTGTGACTCATGGCTTTGGATACTGTGTTAGGGCTGTCATGTTTCTTAAAGAAAATATTACATATTTAAGTCATAAATAGCTTCTTATATATAAATAATAGAAATTGTGTATTTTTAATAATATATAGCCGCCTGAAATTCCCAATGTTGTAATAGTGATGGGCCAAAGCCAACAGTTCAATGTGCATATTTGACTCCTGAAAGCATTAACCACATCCAGTATATGCAGTATTTGCAATATTTATCTTTTAATTATTGCTTGGATATATTTTTTATGTGATTACAAGTGCATGCCAGTTTCATTTAATAATTTTACTCTCCAGGCTTCATATCAGGAACTCATCAGAAAAGTGCTTGATGTGTTTAAGCCTGGCAAGTTTTTGATGACTGTCTTTGCAAACAATGTAAGTAATTAGTGCTTTTGTGGCGTGATTATATAAAAACAATCATATTTTATGTTTTAATGTAGCTGCTGGATATGACCTACAGCAAATGTTTAAAGGGTGTATAATTTAATATCTGTATAATTACTTTGCTTTGACTTACTGGTAGATAAGGCTTATTAAAGCAATATTCCTGTTTTGTCTTATGGTATTTAGAGACATGTTCAAATGCTGTTAACTGCCACATTAACTGTCACATTTATTTGTGATGTGCATTTCTAATAACAACGATATGTAGCTGACAAATACTTGTGTATTATGCACCTACATTAAGCTGTTTAATTATAATGTATTTTTTAATATGAATGTTGTCCTATTTTAAAAAAATAGGCATCCATTGCCAAAGACACCCACAAGCACATTGAGCACTTGGACACTATTGAGGGCTACATTAGGAGTGACCACCAGTTCTGCAGTCTTAAGAACTACTATCTGACCTACACACAGTTTTCTCGTCCAGTTATTTAGGAGACCGTGTGCAGGGGCCTTGCATGGGCATGTCGTCATAACCAACAGCTGAAAAGAGGGGGGAGGTGTGGAGGAAATATAACTGCTTGTGATTTTGAGTTATGTGCCCCCTCTAAGCTGAAGACATGCTTGAGGCCTGCCTGCACACAATGTGTGATGCTAGCTAGCAATGTTAAAAAGTCTAGATTTTCTTACTCTCATTTCTTCTTCAGTAGATGTTTTTCCTACTTCTCTCGTGTGTGTCCTCGCTTTGTTTTTCGTTTTTGTTTGCGTTGTCAAATCTTTGTGTGGCGTTCTCGCAAGGGGAGAAAGAAGCTGAGTGTTCAGAAAGGGTACATTGTCAGAAAGCCTAAATAGTATCTGCAGGGGTAGCCATTTGGAATGGTGTGTTCAAATCTTTGTCGAAAACCCCTATTCGACTAATCTAAACCTACCTCCCCAGTAACAGAAGAGGCAGGTACAAAAAAAGCGTTGTGGGACAAGATTTGATTAAGAATGTGAAGAGATGTTGCAGTTTTTCTATAAATACTTCAATTGATAAATTTTGGTGATTCATTGCTGACGGCTGGAAAATCTGAAGCTTTTATTTTAAATTAAAGAACTATTATATACTGAATTCTCTTAGTGATTACTGGGTATATAATCTTTTTTTCCTTTAAAATTTTAGAACATTTTGTAAAGGACCTGTGAGATCTGAAGAAAACCTAGGTTTGGATTTTTTCACAATATTTTTGGATGCATTAGGTTCAGAGGTTTTTGTCAGTTGGATGCATATGAATTCAAGCTTTTATTATATATTTTTGTAGTTAAGAATTTAATAGTGCACACTTTCTTAGTAACCGGTATGAGAAAATACAGTCGTGTTTTTCTAGTTATTTCAATTTTAAAATTTATATTCAATATTAACATCAGACTCACAATTCTTTCTATATAAGCACTTTTTTTTTTTTTTTTGGATAATTGCAACATTATTCGACACTTTTTTCCAACTTCCGCTTTTTTTTAAGGGATAATTTAAGTCCCTGGCCAACCTATGATTTTTGTATCCCTTGCAAAGCTAAACAGCCTATCAGTTTTTGTTTGTACTCACAATTCTTTCTATATAAGCACTTTTTTTTTTTTTTTTGGATAATTGCAACATTATTCGACACTTTTGTCCAACTTCCGCTTTTTTGTAAGGGATAATTTAAGTCCCTGGCCAACCTATGATTGTTGTATCCCTTGCAAAGCTAAACAGCCTATCAGTTCTTGTTTGACTGGGGATATGACATTTTCTTGACTCGTATCATGTGTTGAGTGACCCAATGAAGCTATGTTCCTTAACATTTCAACTTAATAAGCATAGCCAATGTTCTGATTTAAGGAACGAAGTTATTGGGTTTAGCCCATTTAACTGATCAGACTCCTTGTGTGCACACACTTAGCTTTCTGGTAATGTGTGTCGAAATATGAAACCAGTGAGTGAGGCCAGCGCCCCTCCTCCCTTCCCTCCCTTCCGGACTCGTGATGTACTGTCATGATGTAGTGATGACCTTTTGTATAGATTGGCCACCACTGTGGTGGAAATGGGGTAACTCTATGGATATTGATCTTATATCTGCCCTGTATTCATTTATATATTAATTTGTGAGCATTTCATTTCAATCAGGAGTTGGTATATTGAAGTGCTTAGTCTAAACCTATTAAAAAGATCAGTTTGTTAAATATGATGCGGTTATTGGCTTATATGATTCAACTGTCATAACAAATCATTGTTATGCAAAATTGCTAATTTTAAGAAATATCTGAGCCTCTTTTGGGCTTAACCTGAAGTTCCTATTTTGGATGCAATGCTTAGTGATAATGAAGTCTATCTTTCACATTTTATGTGGAAATCATTGAAAATTTAAGACCTTTTTTCTCATTCACTGGTTCTTTTTACTGTGCCCTCTTAAAATGTCCAACATGAATTGGGTGTTTTCCTTTGACCTCCCCTCCCCCCCCCCCTCCCCCCTGAAATGTTTTTGTCTGATCAGGATATTTCTTGATGTTTCAGCCCTAAAGGTTAAGAGGTTTTTTTTTTAGGTCTGTTAGTTTTTGGTCTAGTTGCAGATTTATTTTAAATAAGGATATTTGGAGAAAAAAAAAGGTATTTTTTGCTGTGCAATGCATTTTTTTTTTTTTTAACACTTTTTAAACTACCACTATGTTGTGTTGGGCTACATTTTATTTTATCTTAATTAAAAGCTGGAACCATTCTTGGGTGATAAAAGCCAGGTGTGGTAAGCAACTAATTTTAATAATTTTTGTTGTATTTAAACCAATAGCAGCTGTAAACTTGGCTGTTCTTTAGGCATTTTACACCTCAATAGAATATGTGAAATTCTGTTTGGTTAAATTGTTATATATTGATGTTGCCATTGCATTTTATTTTCTGATAAGTTTAGTCTCATTGTAGTTTGTACATTTGCTGAAGTCATTCTGATAATTTTGGTCTCATTAAGGGTTGTACATTTTTACTGAAGTCAGCTTGTTGAATGAGCACTTCACTGGTCAGCTTGGTTTAGGCCAAACACCACCTGGGTTATGTTGTGAAAAAAAAGACTACTTATCCACTGAAATTTACATTTTGCAATAAACATGGATGAAACTTATAACTGGTCATGTTGTGTACAAAGTTTAAAAACAAAAATTTTTGTGTAGGCCTACTAATCAAACATTAAGCATTGCATGTGATGGGGGTTACATCTTTTCGAGTTTGTATTAAAATAAAGCAATTCAAGTTACTTCCTGTGAGATTTGAAAATGTTAACCAGTGTTTGAACAATTTGATAATAGAAAATTTGGATATCATCTTCATATAAGTAATTTGTCAGATCACTGGCCTGAGTTCAATGTTTTCTGAAACAGTTTAAAAAGAATGCTGTAACTGTTAAAGATGATTTTAATTCTTGTTTTTTTTTCATGCTGTAATTTTTCTTGTTTTATCTTTTCAATTTATTTTTTCTTTTGCTTAGTAGGGAAGGTTAATATATTTGAATGTGTTTCTTGGTTTTGTGGAGTGTAAGTCACTATATGTCAGGACTAGATGTTTGTCTCATTCTCAGCACTGTAGCTGTGGGTAACATAGTTGGTTGTGGGACTTTTCTACTTATATTACATAAAACCCTTTTATAAAAATTTTCATGTGGACTGCCTTATGTGCTAATCTCTGTCAAGTTTGGTTCAATAAAATTTTGTTCTGAAAACCTGTTTTGTCTTGTGTAAATGTTAACTTTTACAGTGAATTTTAAGTCTTAACAACATATATACGATAATAAGTTGATTTTATTTCAAAAAGCACAAAATATCACAATATCAAGGACGGAGTGATAATATTAATAAGATTGTATTAAAAACTGTTTTCTTGCTGGTATTCTTGAGTAGTTACCATTCAGTGGTCAATGGCAACCTAATTATTTACACACATTGACACATGCCTGCCATTCTGTTGAGGAAAATCCTGTATATTCTGCTAAGTAACAGCTTATGTAGTAAAAGCAGCTTAATTCAATTTGTTAGAAGTCAAGAAAAGCTTTGCCTTAAACTTAAAGTTAAAACTATTAAGCATGTAGAATCTATGCAGTTAGTTACAGTAATAATAATATAGGATTAAATTAAAAATTAAGATGCATTTTGCAGAAAACCTGGACCAATATTTAAATTTCCATATTATAATTAAGATTCCCTTATTTTTACATTTCCTTCTTTCAATTTATGCCTTTTAGACAGAAGTTTTATGGTGGTAGCACAAGTAATTTAGAAGGTGTGGAATATACTTGTGCTAAAAAATGATTTAAAAATTTCTGTAAGATGTGGAGTTGTCAAAGATAAATGCACTTTTCTCAGTGATAAGATTTATTAGATTTCTTGACTAATAGACTATATTTATAAATCAGTTAAGAAATATGTGCAACATGTTCATTGTACCCAACCAGTTTTTGTATCAGTGTATGCTACTACACTACTTAGGCTAATTTACCACAAACATTTTGGATTGCCTGAATGCTTACACTTACAGAATTAGTAAACAATTTTTTAAATTGTGGAAATACCCAATAAACAGGTATTAAATATATCAAAACCTAGGCCTATAAAAACTATACATTTAATTTCGAAACCTAGCTCAGGCTCAAAATAATCTGTTGAACTGGTAAACTACCATGAGCCAGTGTTTCTTCTGTTATGGCCACTGATGGCGCCAATGTTTGTATCGTATTAAATGTGACCTAGATTTAATTCGGCCACAGCTGGTTTTTCAATCTGGTAGTCAATCAGTTAATTCCAAGATTAAAAAATAAATAAACATGTGCAACAATGTAATGTGTTTATAAATATAAATTTTTGAAACTAATTAATTTCCTTTAAAAAATGGTACAATAAGAATAAGTCTTAACTTGCTTTGTTTTTGTGTTAAAGTTAATAACTCAAAATTTGCTCTACCATATTCTCTGTGGAGTTTGGGGGGGGGTGGGGAGAAATAATAATAATTAAACTATTATTCTATTCCGGCAACAAGTCTTCTCCTAACTCTTCATCACCAAATTCATCATCATGGGGGCCTTTCCTGCGAGCTGCAGTCTTTGGTCGCTCTGCCTGGGGGCCCAATGGATCAGAGTAGGAAGCATCTGAGAAAATAATATATGATACGTGACAGATCTTTAAAACTTAAAATCAATAATTTACTTTGTATGTAGAAAACTTTTTATGAATTGGCATGTTTAAGTTTTAAGATAGACGTGATAACATAATATTTGACAAGGTATATAAGACTCGGAACACAAAACTTCCTATTACTATAATTTATGTTCCATGACAAGGAACATTTGGTTTCACATGTCCAAGTCAATTGCCATTTTTTTAAACAAAAAGAATAAAATCCAATGCTTTGTTGTAATTATGGTAACTGACCTAATGCCAAATTCATTTTCTACAAGTTAATTTTTAACATTTAAAATTCTACTTATCTGCAAACCTTGTTAAAAAAATACACCTGCTAATTTGTCATCTTACCGATCTCCTGGGGCTGACTAAGTTGGTATGGACCTCTGTCAACGTCATCTAGCTTGGTGCGTACTCTTTGTTTCTTAGAGACTTTCCCTTGTGCACCTGCACTTCCCTCACGATCTAGGTCTGCATGGAGATAAGATGAGCGAAAAAATGCTAATAGTAATATCCCCACCCCTTTGTTTTTGTTGATATTATCTACATGCACAAAGATACGATTTCAGAATTTGTATTCTTATAAATAGTAAATTTGTATCAGTTGACATTTGCCTACCAGTATTTTCATTCTTACAAAATGTCATATCATGTCTTTAACTATGTTTTCAATCTAAGACTAATGTAAGCACTCACCACTTCCAGCACTACTCTCTCTTCTGGCTCTGCCACTTCCTCTTCTACCAGCACTTGTTGCTCTCTGAAAGAAATATAAACACACTTTTTAGAAACTTATTCTTTGTTTAAACACTGAAATGAGCTTGAAATATGATAATTGCTAAATAGCTAAATAACATACTCTAACTTGTCAGATTAGCTAACCAGATCCTAAGGGGTGATAAATTATTGAATTCAATCTTCGACAGTGTGCACTTGATGGTATATTAATAAGACACGAACAAATTGTGTCAATAGAACAATATGAGTTAGCTTTAATAATAATTGTACATTATACAGAATTAAACGTTTCGGCACATGCCTTCATCAGTACAAACAAACACAACACATTTAAATAAGTATAAATTAAATTTACATAATGTCAATATATATATCCTACCTAAAACAGAAAAAATATAGGAGAGGGCGCTTAAACCTGACAAAAACAAAGTAAAGAGATGTAGAAAGGAAGTGATTCAAACATAATTGGAAAAACCAAACAGGAAAAAGACATGGCAGCTAAGTAAAACTATGGATTTGGTTCAATCCATATGGAGACAACGTACCAAATCTAGTTATTAATTTGTTCTCCATATAGATTCTATCTGCAGTGTTACTAGTATAGAGTATACCAGTAACTACAATATCTGAGATACCATTATGGTTAGGGCTATTGAAATGTTTGGAGACCGGACAGAGAGCGTGTTTATTTATGTTATAGAGGTGCTCTCTGAAACGGTCCCCAAGGCGACGACCTGTCTCTCCTATGTATAGTTTACCGCACTTTTTGCAAATGATGGTGTAAATCACGTTGCGACTTGTGCAGGTAAAGCCATCTTTTATTCTGAATACTCCCAGAGGGAAAGTGATCGTATCAGTTTCGATCACATAGGGACATGAGTTGCAACGGCTACGGTTGCAACATTTTGTGCCTTTATATGCTTTAATAGCAGGGAGGTGGCTTCTAACTAGCATGTCCCTAAGGCTCTTGTCCCGCCGGAAAGCGAAAAGAGGAGGTTTTCTAAAAATCGCATTTGTGACAGGGTCCGCCATAAGAATGGAGCGGTTTTTAAGAACCAGAGAGCGAGCTTTTAGGTTGTGGGGATGAAAAGTTAAGATAAATTTAGACCTATCGCTAGTGTCAGAATGAGTAGCTTTAAAAGAAGCCTGTCTAGTCATACCTTTAACTCGAGTGACAGCTGCTTTTAAAATTTCTTCGGGATATAATCTGCGTCGGAAAAAATCCAACATTTCAGACATTCTTTCTTTTGATGGTAGAGGTATTAACCAGTCGCAAGGAAACCATCACAATTGACTCTCCTTAGCTGTACAACAAGGGTAAATAATTCTTTCCCAGACATAAAAATTACTACTGACAAGTGTTATGTTAGAAAGTGAAGTGTCTCATTTATTAAGACAAGCTGCTTTTTTTTTTTAAATTTAAAATTTCTTCTAGCATTATCTCTACCTGTTCCCGTAGTTCTTTATTCTTTTCAGCCTTCTTCAGTTTTGTGGCATACTCTTGAGCATCATTCAGACCAAGATCTGTACACAAACGAACTAAAAACTTGAGACCTGTAGGCAAGAATAATTACATTTTTATAACTTATTAAATAGATATTACAAATGTACTTGAGTTGAGAAAGGTGGGTGTGTCATGTGCAAAATGGATTGCCAAAAGAAGCATCCACTATGTAATCCTTTCCTATTTATTTTTTCATAGCAAGTTAATTTGTTTGTGTTGGTGAACATATTGATGATTTGCACGCATTAGCTTTAAAGGTAACCAAAAACATCACCCACATTCAACATTGTCCGAAAATTTCCTGTGGATCTGTTTGTATGTTTCTAAGGCTTTTTGATAATTTCCACTCCTTCTGTAACAACTGGCAATCATTAGATGCCATTTGACTTGGTTGGGTCTAAATAGAGGAGATGATCATTATAAAATAACATTATTAGAAACAGGGTGTCAGGATAAAACTCAATCAAAACAATTATTCTCCAAAACTCCAAAAATAAAAGAAAGTAAGAACTACTTAATATCTATCCTTAATAGAAATTGGTGTTGCATGTCATTGGCAAAATAGTCTGAAGTCGTTTATGGATGGTCCCTTTATAAAATTGACTAAAAGAAAGTATTTGGGAGTAAATCTGGTAACTTTTTTTTTTTCAATTTTCACAGTTTCTTCTTTTTTTACACAAATGCATAATTTGCAATATTAATGGTATCATGATTTTGCATTTAAGAATAATGCAACATTCCGATGAAAAAGTTATTTTTCTAGGACTGATGTCTGTTTAAAGTATTGTTTGGTTGCCTGCAAACTATGTCAAAATTTAGAACTGATTTCAGTCAATAAATACAAAAATTTGAAAGAGGCAAGTATTTATTGATTTGAGGAGAAGTTTTTAAAATATTATTAATAGTAATAGACAGTATAAATTATATTAACACTGACTCACTGTACAATTGAAGCCCTTTCGAAGTAATGGATCGCTTTCTCACAAAACTGTGAGTCAATATAGTAGGCACCAAGCCATTCAATGACTGGAATGTTGGATGGGAAATGTCTGTAGGACTGTAGAATTTTGAAAAGCATGATTCCATTTATTGGTTCTCTAACTGCTATTTTAACATTACTGTAAGAATTTGAAACTGGGAGTTTCAAATCTCATCTTTTTAAAAATTAAAATCCTCATGGACGTTCCTATTTTCTTGAAGCAGTCACATTTTTCATACTAAACTTTTAAAGGTGGTGATAAAATATATACGTTAATTAACATTGCAGAAAAAAACACTTTTGATGATGTTGTTGCAAATTTGCCATGAAATTTTCTTTCACCTAGAATAGTTAAATTAAAGAAGCCCAACAACAACTTGAAAGGTTAAATTATAACTAGCAAGTCATGTGTGCATGTTACAGAGTTTAGTAGGCATTTAATTATTGATGGATGCTTTATTTTCATTTTAAAAGTATTGATCGTAAACACAAGAGCTCATTTTGAAAAACTGCTAATCCGAATTCTGCATAAAATTTATCATGACACACTAAGAAATTATATTTGACAATAAATACTTCAGTTAGAATAGAAATTCAAAAGAATTATCACTCACATCAAAATAGTACTGGAATGCTTGAGATTTATCTCCCTCATTGTCATAGAGTTCTCCCATTCTAGCAAGGACACTTGGGTCAGAGCTTACTACACCAATGAGCTGCATAAACCTGAAAAGTCAGAGAATTCCCCATTTCTCTGAATGTTTGATAGGACATGATACCATATTTTATTATGATTATGTTTTACTTCACATTTATTTAAAGCATATTAACTTATAAGGTAAAATATTTATTTCTGAAAAATATTCTACAACAATTTTTTATAATTGTTACAAAAAAAAAACTTTTAAATTTAAAAAAAATTGAAAAATTTAAGCATTGTAAAAAGAACTAATGTCTTTGTGAAACTTTATTTTTAAAATTCAACTTTAAACTAAAAATGGATATCTTAAAAACCTACCATTCTGTGGCCTGTGCAGAATCTTCAAGTTGCTCATACCTTAGCTTAGTTAAGAAACCAAATTTAATCATGTTAATTATTGTTTGTATATTTTTTTTTACCCTCTGAAAAATATAAATATGTATACACTCATTTTTTTGAAAACCAAAAATTCAACTCATAAAATTTGTTGAAAATCAACTTTTAAAAATAATAAATAATATACAAACTTCATTTGTGAAGTTGAAGGGAATTTAAATGGCAGATTGATAAAAAAAGAAAAAAAAACTTCAGAAAAAAATTGTGAATGCATCATCACTTCAGTTCAGCTTGTACATTGTGTGTCATGCACCTTTAAACATTGAAATCCCAAATTTTTTGGCAAAGTTAGAAACATATTTGATATCAGACTTAATTTTTTAAATTTAGCCAAAATGTTTACAACGTGCTAAGTAAAATTATGTTGAATTTCAACATAAACTTTGGTTAAGACATGATGAAACATTATATTTATTGATTTTATACATAATTTATGTTATTTTTTAAAACAGTATGGACAGTAGTCATTTCCTAGAATCTGTGACTATATATGGAAAATAGGTTCCCACGACTGCTCTTCAACAAAGCTCAATATTAAAATATCAATTTTTTTTTTATTGAAGGATACGTGTCCGCTATCTGGTACATGACTTGTGGGCTGTTTCTGAGTATTGCATGGAGTTTATAGAAACAGTCAATGGCCTCCTCCAGGCGACTCAGTCTCTTGTTACACAAACCTAATCAAGCAAAATTAATATATTAATTGTATGGTTAATGATCATATATTTACTGTAGACACATTTTGCAGACCTATGGTGTTATCATTAATCAGATTTTACTGGACTCATTTCTGTGTAAATTAAAATAAGACAGTGAGTAAGAATTGAGTGAGTATCGAAAAAATGTACATTTTTTTGGAAGAGCGGAAATAGAGTGAGATGTTGGGTTTATTACAAAATATTTAAAATATTATTCTTTAAGTTTATAAGACTAAACTTGGTATCAATTGAAAGATAATTGAAAGGACTATATTTTTGTACACTTATTTCTTCACTTTAAATAAAATAAGTTACAGAAAAGAACCATAAAATGTGGAAACATTTAATGCTAAACCATTTTTCCCCAAACCCTAAAATGTACGCATACCTCATCTTCACTTCTATAACTCAATTCCTCTAAAACTACTACTATCGGAATCATGCGAAGCATCTAAATTTAAATCATCTTAACTATCAAAATAAATAGTATAAAACAAATCCAAAGCTTTTTTAACTGTTAATCGTCTCGGAAACTTACTTCTAGGGCCTACAGTAGCCAAAGCAACAGTAGAAAAAAAAACGCGAGGAAAATCGTTAAAATAATGCTTCAAATGACAACAAATAAACCTTGGTTTCGCTTATAAACAATGAAGTACCACTCTTTTATGTTAAGTCTTATTTAAAAAAAAGCTCTTAAAAAGTTTAACCGAGAAATAGCAAATAACATGATGTTGAAACAACGCATAGCGCTTTGGTATGTGCTTTTGAGGACGGCGGAAGAACACAGTGTGTGTTGTTCCGCAAGGAAAGATTTAAGATCTAAACAAAAAAAGAAAAAAGAAATAGTACCTAAATTATACAAAGCTTCAATACATGAAGAGTCATTACTCAAAGCTTCCTTGAAGAACTCTCTTGCTTTCTCATGGTCTTGTTTGGCATAGAGTACATTCCCTTTATTGACTAGTGCTGAAATGAACATACATTTATTAAGCACAAACAGACATTTTCAGTCTTCATTTCAACACCACCAGCAAACTTGCAGTTTTAGTTTCATACACCGCCCTTCAGCCTGCTTTAAAATTTTGTAGAATGGATACAAATTTGTATTTATTATAAAATTAATTCATACCAGAGGTATGGTAAATCTGTTGACTTTCACTTACCAGAGGGATTGTATCTGTCTGCTGCCATGGCTACTTCAGCATATTTGTCTGCCTGGGCATAATCTGCCTCCTGTAAATCATATTGATACCAGTAATCCATCTTTATTTTCATAATTCAAATACTACCAGGTACCTAAATTTGTCATATAACTTACAACAACTGCACAAGTTACATGCAACTTTCAATGTGATAAAATTTAACTAACTTCCCTTTAGTGTAGTTTCTAACTTTTACTTTGAACTATCTTCCAATATACCCATTTGTTATTTCTTTTAATATTCCCAAATGACTTTCCCTTAACTTCTTACAGTAGATATTGTTTTCTCAAATCTACGCATGCCAGGAATTTACAAAACAATTAATTGAAAGAACAATATGAAACTTTAAACAGCGTTACCTTTGACTTGTTTAAAATATTAATTAACTAATACAAAATTGATGATACACTATTTTTTTCTAACTAAATAAATTCATAAGGGAGTTAGTTATACAGCCTAAAAATATTAAAGTAATAAGACTTTCTTACAAAGATCTTTTGGCCATTAAATCAGCAGACAAAAAACACAAACTTACCAGGAAGTAGAGAAAAGACAAATTGGTGGCTGCTGTGCTGGCCACTTTTGAATCTTTCTTCTCAAAAGATTTGAGTGTTTCAATGGCCTTGTGGACAAAAAAAATTTATATAAAATATATAAAATATGGAAGAGGTCATTTTTAGGATTGAATTGGAGAGTTTTAATTTATTTCCCCGCTGCATACTTTTAAATTGTCTCTTTTGCTGTCTATTTTATAGGTTGAAACAGGGATGTAATTATTGATTTCTTTTTAACACAAAGAGATTGTTTTCCATTCCACAAAGAGCTATACTTTGATCTCATTTTGGTTATTCTTTTTATAAAAAAAATAAATAAAATTTGTTTATGAATTCAGCTTCATTTTAAATGTTAAAATTTGAACCCTTAAATGTGTATACTTTGTGTTGAGTGTAAATTTGTGCCTATTCAGATCAACATGCATTTATTTTTCTGAAAGACCTTACTAAAAAATATTTAACAAAAAAATTGTAATTTAAATAAGTAGTTTTCAAATCACCTGAGCGAAGTCTTTTTGCTTGAGAAACATGATGGCTTTATCAATCTCCAAATCATGAGCCAGATCAATATATTGAGAGTTCTTCACCATTTCAATACACCTAAAAGTTAATCATGGAATCATGATTACACACAATGACAGAAATAAAAAGGGTTGGATTAGAAATGGTAAAATGGAATACTGCACACTTCAGTGCATATTAGCTGTAGTTTGAACAAACCCAGACCAAGCAAGTCATGCCAATGAAATAAGACTAATTTCTAAGGTACTAAATTCTTTTACTTGAAGATTTTTTAAATTAAACTTATAAGCGATGCTGTTTTGTTTTATTTTTAATTTGCTTCATGAAATTCAGAGCAAGGTTTTAAGACAAAAAAATTTGACCTACCAGTCATACCCATCAGAGAATGATGATTCTATAGCTGGGGAGATGATCTTGGCAGCATACTTGATACATCTCTCAGCTTCATATTTCCTGTTGAACACATCAATTAATTATTAAATTTAATAATTATAGTAAATTCTCTGAATCTTAAACAAGAACCATTGCACACAATATATGAAATACAACATTAACTGTATGGTAACTCTGTTTCTGCATTGTTCTTAAGTATGAATAATTATACTGATATATTTAAATCACCAATGAGTCCAATGAATACATTTTGTATCACCAATTTCAACATTAACTTTCTGCTAAGCTGACTTTAAATAAATGAAATTAATTCTAAATGAAACTCTTTTTGTGAAGGTGGTTCTAGAGTTATTATTTCAACTATCCTTTTCAATTCAATGCATGTTTAAGTATTAATTCTTTAAATGGATTGATTTGAATCCAGGAAGGCCATTACTTTCAGCATAGAGCAGTTACCAGCCCAGTGATACTATTGTTACCCAAGTATTTTAGTATTTATGCCTGGGATAGTTACAGTCCTAATTACTTATAAAATGAAATATTCCTTCCTTGAATTGATCACAGATCAAAAAACTGTTTAAAATAAAAATATTTCAATTGTAGGTGCTTGAAGTGTGGTAAATGCATCATTTTAAGCTATTAATGGAACAATGAAAATAATTAAATGCTTCTTCTAACCTTTCCCTCTCAATCTGTCTCAGTGAATCATTTTTTATAACCTCCAACACCAGGTTGTACTGTTTATCATCCTGTTAGGTATACATTCAAATGTTTAATGCAAGCATATGATAAATTATAATTGAACTAGTCTTAAATCAAGTAAAAATTTCAATAATATAACTTTGCCTTTTGAGATCAGAGAAAAAGAGTAAAGACTTGTATGAATAAATCATTTTTTAATGCAGTATAATTAATACCACATCCAAAGATAATTTAAAATTTTATTCCATCAGTTCATTTGATAGTCTTTACATTGACCTGGTAAAGAAATAGTTCAAGGATAAATTCTTACTAATCAACTAACACAGGTGATTTGATAGTCTTTATATTGACCTGGTACAGAAAGAGTCCAAGGAGAAATTCATACTAATCACATAACACAGGTTAAGCATTTGTAAATCAGGTAAGAGCTAAAAGCTTTAATTGGAATTAAAAAAACATCATAAATTCCCCATTGGAAGAACATCACCATTTATTCCATAATAAGAACATAAGGACTTCAGCACTAGAATTCAAACCAACAACGTCATAACAATAATTATTTGGAAAATAGGAAGCCACATGTGTATATGACCTATGCTCTGAACTCACACCATGTGAGAGATACTTGTCTTCGTCATCAATTTTCAAGTCCACTGTAAGCAGCTTGGCAAACCCGTCCCTCATTTTCTCCCGGTCACCAAGTGCAAAGTAGCAGAGGATCAGGTTGAATCCAGTTTTGAAATTTGGTGACTCAGACATGATGTGCTCGAAGGAGGTGATTGCGTCGTTGTACTGTCCTAACTTGACAAATGTGATTCCAATATTCTGCATGATCTTTGTCCTTAGTGAGAAAAATTAAATTTACTTGCAAATATGTCAAGCTTAAAATATGACAAGCCTAAAATATACCAAGCCTAAGCCATCATGTTAGAATGGTTGTATTAAATAATATTAATTTTCTAATAAAAAATCATCAATAGTCAAGATTTAACTTCAGGATCATAAAATCTAAATTTCTCTATTTTAAATGGCAAGTAAAAGTTAGTTCCTTCTGTAGGAAACAAACAAAAAGGTCCAAATATTCTTAATGAGTAATATGAGAATAAGCTCAAACTGATCTACTTATTAGGGGACAGCCTGAAAATGATGGGACCACTTGATGACATTTTGGTTTATGTGGCATTAGACAAGACTTTTTCAAACGACATCTTGGTTACTGAAGCTGTTTAAAGGCTTCCTGAGTTTCCACTAACCTCATCTCTTTATGAGTGTTGGGCACCTGGTCTAGTGCCATTCTGTAAAATTTGACAGCTTTCTGAAAGTTTCTCTGCTTGAAGTAGATATTTCCCATGTTTACTTTAAGGCGACCTGAAATTTCAGATTGTCATTGTCAATGAACTGATAATCTAATCACACAATTCAATTCTAAATTAACTCATGAATATTATCACTTCTCCTTTCAATCAGGGACGGAGATAACTGGGAATTATTATTTCAAACTGTAGCTGTAGTAGGTGGTAAATATCAGAGATATTAAATGTGTCCATAGTGGTCATGAGTTTGAAAAGTTTGATTATCATATCAATTTGAATAAAGCTTAATCAGAGAAGTATAGTTTGTAAATGTTTCTATTGTTATTTATAATAACAAAGAAACTTCATTGACCCATTATATTTTTAATGACATTTTATTTCATTTGCCTACAATTCTTTTTCTTACCGGCATTGCTGAACATTCGGTTTTTCACAATAACTTGATATGTGTTGATAGCCTCATGATACATCTCATTGGCAACATACTGATTGGCCAAGTTGAAAAGTACCTGATCAAACAAAGCATTACTTTTTTTTTTATTGGGTAGAAGTTTTCTTGTATCAACTGAATACACATATTCAGTCAAAAAATTAATTCATGCTTATGGTTTTCAATAATATAATGATTAATTGAATTTTTAAAATGACAAAACAAGTTGTTCATGTGATTAAGAGAAGTCCCAGTCTCAAAACTTTCATTAAATATAACAACGTACAAAAAGTTATTTTCTTTAAAAAAAACTAATTTAGCTAATGAAGATCATTTTTAATAACCAAAAAAAAAAAAAAACTGTTGATTATGTGACTCAAAGATCACAGCCAAGTGGACAAAACTATTTAGGTAATTACAGAATAGGTGAGATCCAAGTTGATCTGATCGCCTTTAGACAACTGCTCTCTCTGTCTCACCAGAACTCTCTCCTTTCTACCAGCTTCCTTGGCCTTATCTAAAGCCTACAAATAGAGACACATTTGGAGCAATAATTCTATTGAACTTTTCAAAAGTAAAAACAAAACAAACTCAATTTGTCCTATTGAGCAATGGACTCTTTATTTTAAGGAAAAAGTATTTAATATTTTTTGTTAAGAAATCTTTCTAAATATCATTTGTCACTGACAGACAGCCAAAGCCATCTTTGTAGATGACAAAAAACAACTATGTAATAATAATAGAGATAAATATAGATTTCAAAGTTCAGTAATACATTAGCTACTGTTCAATACAGCATATATCAATCAAAATGATTAATGAATATGGTGGGTAGCTATTGTCAAAATGAAATTTAGAAAATATGACAACATTCTGATTTTGAGGAGAAAATAATTGAAACATGGATTTTATTTAAAGTATGAAGATGTTAATAACTTCTGAAAAACGTTTTTGACCTGATAAGTTTTTAGACAATAATTTCAAATGGAAATCCTATCAGGAGGTAAAAAAATGGATATGGAGGAGCCAAATGTTGAACAAACTGAGATCCTTACCAGCTGTAGTTCCCCCCTGCTGTTGGCCAGGCAACTTTCCTCTATAAGTTCATTTACTTTTTTTTCTAAATGTCGAATTTTCTCTTCTGGGCTGATTAATACAAAAAATAGTACCATATCAAAAACATTGAAATTAGCCAACATTAAAGGCATTAAATTAAATAGGTAGCATCTACCACATTTCCTATATGTTTCGATATATTTTGCTTTTGGATAAAAATCAAACTTTTTATCTATTTCATACCAACAATTTGTGAATAAGATATAAATAACATTTAAACTCCAGGAAGAAACAACTTATAATATGCTAGTACTCAAAACTCAAATGTAAATATTATGTTTCATAGAAAATAGCCAAAAGGGAAATAAGTTAAAGAAACTAAGATGATAAAAAATGTAATAACCTGTCTTCTGGCTTTGCTTCCAGAGGTGGTGCAGGGCCTTTACCAGCCTGATTAAATGGGTCAAAACCTGATCCAACTATAAAATAAGTAATATTACATGATGAAATAATTAGAAGATGTACATCATATGGATTTGATTGCAATAATATATAATTTCCTCTAAACTTCAAAATAATTAATAAATTCAATAAGTTCTCTGTTATTGTCCACCTTCTTTGCTTAATGAAAATTAAAAATAATAAATTAAATAATGATACAAAAAACAAGACATTAAAACCAAGTTTATATCTTACTTCTATTTCCTGCTGATGTGAACCCAGCAGCTCGAACTGCTGTCATGGGTCTTGCCTGACCATCTTGAAGACCACCAGGATGTCCCATAGATGAGGGCATGGCCAAGCGACCCCTAGCAGCAGTAGTCAAACGGCCTTGTGTACCAGGCCCACCTCCAAGAGCCATTTTAGCCTGAGTCTACAGATAATTATTAAAAACATTCAAACAGTCAGCATCTATTATGATTCATATTTATAGACTTACTTGAATCTTGTAAACATACTTTTTTATTTTTAGATGTGATACAAATTTAAGACTATTCATTTTGCATTTAATTGTTGTTTTTTTAAAAGAATGAACTACTTAAAAAGGTTTTAACAATAATTAAAAATGATCATGTATTTTTTTATGGTCTAACACTAGTAACTCATATAAAACATTAAAGATGTCAGCTTACCACTGGACGACGTCCATGGCTTGTTCTGAGAACTGCTTTTTGAAAGGTTTCATCATGCACAAGATCCTGCATTAACAAAATGATGAATGAAATACGGATAATGTTAATCATTTAAGGATATTCAACAGCTATGCAGAGTTAATAAAACTATTTTTGGGTTAAAACTTAAGATTGTTAATTATGCTACTTAAAAATTGAAGGGCTTTGAAAATTAGGTTCAAATTCTTTTTAATTTCTAAATTTTCAAATATTTTTGAAATATCTGTTACAGAAACAGACCTCTGTATCCAGCATGGCATTGTAATCATTGAATCCTGAGTAGTCATCATCATCTTCACCACCAAAGTTGTTAGTTTCCATTCCATTCATGCGCTTCATCATGATGTATTAACACTAGCATGTGTTAGGACTAAAAAAAAAAGGTCCATTGTAACATTTGAAATTCATTTTAATAAAAAAATTATCTTACTATAATGCAAATTACATTGTATGACTATGCCTTTACAAGTTAGGAAAATTAAGAATGAATAATTTGCAAGGGAAATTGCATGGGTTGAATTCTTGTGTATGTTGCTTTTCTACCAAAGTAATCTACATAGTACCCTATTAATTAGGGGGTGCTCTTCAACTATACAGCTGCCATTGGCATTATGTGCGCCTCTGCATTCAGTCTGCATTCCATTTTCTTTTAAATTTATCTTTGTTGTATGATTACAAATTAGACATAGACCTACACTATGGATTAGACCATAATATATTACATGCGTTGAAAAAGTCACTCTTAGTACTCTAAGACCCTTTCTTTCTATTATACTCTTAGTCTTTCTTAACACTTTACCTACACAGTGTAGGTGTAAGTGACTGCACAGTACACTTGAAAGTCATAAGTCATTCAAGTCTAATGTTGGTTCGGTGTGCCACTTTGAGTTTCATTGTAAGATTCTCTCCCTTTTGTTCATTCTTGGACTGTTACTATAAGTAGTTAACTTTTCTTCTTTTTAAATATTAATACACCGAGGGAATGTTGTAAATTAATATTTCATTTGGTGGTTAGTTATAATATTTGAATTTTCCGTTTTTTTAAAAAATAAATATTATATTGATTTTTCTCATTTTTCTGAGAACTTTAGGATTTTAATTTTGGTGGAACCTGCAATTAAGTGTGTAAAAGTGTATTCTATGAAACACTCAGTTAGTTTTTCATTATTTAAACAATATTTTGCACCGGTAATGTTTTTATTAAATTTTTACACATTTCTTAGCACAGTGTTTAACTGCAGCGCATGTGTTTTAGTTGAGGGAAGGAAGCGACTGCAGGTTGTTGACACTTCTTGCCACAGGTCGAGGACTGAAAGATATAAAAATTCTTTTGTTCCTCAATCTGTATGAATTTAGCAGCGAGCTCCCCCTGAAGTCACAAATCTTAATGATAACTATTAATTCCCTGATATGGCTAAGATAATTCACTGAATGGCTGTTTTTTTTCACTAGTGAAATAATTTAATGTAGATGTCTTTTGTTCAAATTGTTTTATTTATGTGCTGAAAATGTTCAATGCAATTAAAAAAAATTTCCATTTGTTTGGATCAATAAAAAAAAATCGTATCTTATCTATAGGGATATATAAAAGTTGCTATGTTCACCATGAAATTCATGTAGGCCAACTGCCTGAAATTATTTCTTTGAATTTATCTTTTATTCCTATTTTTACTTCTCTTGGTAAATAGTTCAAATGGCATATTCTCTCTCTTTTCCCTCCCCATTTTACAGACATGTGATTGCAAAAAAAAATATTTTTTTTACACAATCCCCATCATGGTTGCCATGACAATCTGCCATCATAAAAAAGCACAACACTCATTTTCAGTAGTCCCAGTTACAGACCAGAGAGTAGGCTACTGAGTAGGCCCTTTGATGAAAATTTCAAAACATTTTTAAAAATATAAAAATACTACAGCTGTATAGAGCCTGGAGAATAGATGACAAAAACACTAAGATCAACCTTCTTTAGATACAAATTTCAAATATTCTGTGGAATTGTTTAACATTTATAAGTATAAACTAATAATAAAGGGATTATTTGTTTCATTTAGTTAAAATTTATGATTACACTTTCTATTTTACAATTTTCTTTACGGGGTATATGTTTTTTAGTCCCATATCATATCAATGTCTGAATATGAAATATGACAAAAAAATAGTATGTTGTTTTTGTACAAGTTAGTAATCTTGTTTCACAAATGCATTGATAGAATCAACTTTGGTGGTTTATACAAACTAAAATAAGTTCTAGTCATTTGCTTGAGGTAAGTATAAGTTTTTATGATTGTTCTTTAATAATATCTTAAGTAATTCTTGTACTATTGTGGCAGAAAGTGTGTTTTTTCTTTTAGAATACCAAGGATTATGTAATAATTCTCTTGTGAAATATTGTGATATGTGATTAAATATAGGATATTTCAATATGAAAGGTAAGTGACTATTTTAAAAAAAAACATTTTTGCTTAATCTATGCATTAAGAATCATAATATTCATTAAAATATGATTACAAATAACAAATAATGTGTCCCACAAATAATGAAATGGGGTGGGGCTAGGCCTATACTTAAAATACTATTCTTTTCTAGGCCTGTAGACATATAGGCTATATATATATATATATACATATTTAAATACTGTTATATTTAATATATTAATTATAATAAGGCTAATAATAAATTAAGTTTAACCCACTACCCAAGTCAATACCCCTCAATAAAAGCATCAAAACAAGTTAAAAATATATATTTATGTTGTTAAAATAGGTAGGTACTTTGATAAGAAAATTAAAACTTTTTGTAAAAATAAACCAATGGCATAGTTGAATAGAGCTAATTTTTTAAAGAATTATAACACCAAAATCATATTTTTAGCTGTTTTAGTTTAAAAGTTATGAATTTTTAAAGTAATGACTGGTTTTGTCATTTTTTAACAAGGACTGCATTTCCACATTCTGTGATCCACTTCCGCTGTTTGCATCACGAGCTATATAACTCTAGATTTAATGATAATTTTATGCGACTTTTATTTTCAGAACTAATGCTGTATTAACAAATAATGTTAATAATATACAATTATATATAAATTATAGTTTATCTAACTATGCACTATGTATAACAATAAATTTAAATAATATATGGCTTTTCTGTTTACCAAATCTACAGCGTCCATTATACTGATATATGCTATTTATATAAGGCAACGCACCCCCTAAAATATTGTTTGGGATCTACTTATTTGAACGTTCAAGTTTGGCACATGACTAATTAACTAAAGCTTTCCTTGACCAATGGTGTTAATAGTTTTTACACACGGCAGACTCTTATGAATGAAACTTGAGGTACCGGTAGTACTACGGCATAGCTTTATGCGAATGGCTGTGAATGGTTTCCCATGACTTTTTGCACATGGTCAATTCTGATCTTTAATAATATGGACTCTACCGGGTTTTTAAAGCTCAAATTTAAACATTCTAGTTTAAATGTCTTCAAAATGCATTCCGAAACACAAGTTATCAAATATTTTGATGTATATAGAGGTAATAATGAATAATTCCTAAGATAAGTATCAGCATTTTCCGCCATTTAACTCATCCAATATGGCCTGTGCGACCTTTGCATAATGAGGTCAACGTTGAGGAGAATTGTGAAAATGTTTCATGAGCTATCCCAATGAAATTTTGCACACGTGTACTTAAACAAATTATGCAGGCCTACTTTTAATATGAAAGACCTACTTTGAATATTTAGACAAATGCGAAGTTGCCTTATATTGACATACGATTTTCCTCACTTAAAGTTGAGATAAAGAACAAATTAACTCAATGGGAATGTAGTTCAACATTTCTCCTAACGTTAATGGGCAGAGTCAAACCTTAATTATGGGTCTAAAGGACTCCTAATTTATTCAAATTACATGCACATGAAAAAATTAAAAACTCGGATTATTTTGCGCCGACGCCCATTTCCGATACAAATTTACTAGGAGTGTCCGCTGCGTCGGCAGAGTATCTAAAATAGGTATCTGAGTTATTAAATTATTTGTTTTTGTTATTGAATGAATAATTATGGAGTAATAATTATGGAGTAATAAGCTGGATTTCCATTGTAGATCAAGTTATTAACTTTTGTTAAAAATCGTTATGGATTAATAGGTCATTTTGGGACACATGTGACAAAAATTTGGTAGTCATTTTTTGACCATTGACCTGAGTCCTAACCTCTTGAATTTTTATAAGTTGTAATTTATGCTATTATCTACCGTGTTGTTTTTTTTTAAAGAAAGAAACCCTTTCCACACAAAAAAATATGAATGACTAAAATAAGCATTTTTTTAGAACAAAAGTGTCTAATCACGATTAGTTGTGAACGGAAATAGAATGTGCTTGCTGGGCTATAATTTAAAAAAAAAATCATAATCAACGAGGCTATCAGTAAATTAAAAAGTGGAGGTCGCCATTTGATAACAAAATCACGATACCCGGTTTTTGGCAATTCCCGGATCATCGAAGTGTCTAACTACTACTGAGACTGAGCAGAGACTAACTGGTTAGCTTACTTAGTACTCAAACTCAGTGTCAATAGTGAGTCATTGAGTCAGTGGTTACACTGTAAAAATTACACTTTCTTTGTCTTATGACAAGATTAAGACTAGGTAAGGCAAGACTACTAAGACTACTACCAACTAAATGAACTTTAAACTTAAAAACTTAAAGCTTAACTTAACATCAACTTAAACTACTCTAAGTTACTACTAACTAAAAGTATGTAAGAAATTGTTCAATATAAATTCTTGCATGAAATTTTAAACAAATGTATTATTATCCTCAAAACACAAAAAATTATAAATCATTTAGTAGTTAATTCCTACTCTTGTTATTTGGAATTCTAGAGGTTCCGGTAGCTGCGCGCATGCGCAACCTAATAAGGCGTCTGTTACTAGGAGCCAGGAGCTCTTTCATTTTAAAAAATGTAATTTGTTTGAAACATGTAAAAGAGACGAGCGAGATAGGGAGACAAATAATATATTTCAAATATCTATTAATCACCTTCTAAACTCTAAATACCCAGTTATGCCCATAAAATTTCCACGATATATATATATATATATATATATATATATATATATATATATATATATATATATATATATATATATATATAGTATCAAATCATGCTCCCTATGGGCATGGGCCTTGGGTTTTTTTGCTGACAGGGCTGACTAAGCTAGGGAACCAGCTGATGCTTAGCCATAGCCGTAGCCCGGCTTAGCTTATGCCAAAGCTCCAAGTCCTAAACTAGAGAAGAAAAAAATCCCGTGCCAGGCTTTTGATTCCTCATGCGAAATCTACACCATCTTCACATTATGACGGACGGATTAAATATTTTTGTTTAAAAAGCTAATGTATATTAACTTAGCAATAGGCCTTGACGTTAAACAAAGGTTATATTTATTTAATGCTTCTACTTAGTCTACTTCCATGACTAATGAAATGCTATACTATGACACTATGCTATGCTAAGGGGGCAGATGTCACCAGGCGCAAAACTAGTAAGGAGGCCAAAATGAGCTTTGATTATAATATTTAATTTATGAAAATAATTTATTCATAGTTAAAGTGCGGGCGGGGGGNTAACTGTCAACTTATACCACTGCTTGAAATTGAAAAAAAAACACACAAAAAACACATCACTATCTCCTGAGTCTTATTTTAAAGAATCATATTTTAACTCCCCCCCCCAACCATCTCTACTCTAAAAATGTTCCCCTACTAACTTACTAACTCTTTCTAGTTTTAATTACATCTTTGTCAACATTGGCATTTCATTACCGTGTATGTTATAAAAGTAAATGTGTTTTACACGTAGGAATAAATTATAGTATAGTAACTATTATTACTTTAACAATGAAACTTTTAATAATCTTCTGCCTGAAAATGAAACCGAAACAGCAGCACAAATTTCCAATAATGTTTAGCAGGCTATTAATACTACATTTACAGGTTACTGCCGAGGCCGAACTAAAAACTTTTTGATGTTAACAACACGAACGGGGATCGGTACATTCAAGAAGTAAACCTAATGAACTGAATAATTAAACTACACAAAAAAAAAAAAAAAAAAAAAAAAAAAAAAAAAAAAAAAAAAAACAAAAAAAAAAACAAAAAAAAAAAAAAAAAAAAAAAAAAACGACAATAAAAGTAAAACATTTAATTTTTATAACTGTTTAATTGTTATCGCCTGTTAAGTTAATAGTTAACTAATTAACTATTACTATTATTTATGAATGAAAAACAATTTTAAATTGGTCACTTGCTCAACTTGCTTTTATGCACTTGTGACTTGCACTTTGCTACTTCTTTTACTTAGTAATTAGTAATATAATATTATATAGTAAAAGTAGTCAGTAGTAGTAAAAGTAAGTAAGTAAGTAGGCCTACTACATGTAGTTGATAGTTGAGGTTGATTATATTATGATTAGTTGCTCATTTTCCACAGCTAATATCACTAATAATGGATAACTAATTAGGCAATGACAATGATATGGTTGTTGATAAATGATATAAATGATTATGATAAGCCAAGCAAAATTTGAATATACCCCCCCCCCCCTTTTTTTTTGCCTGTAAGAAAAAACATAATCCAGTTACAAGAGCACACTGCACAGGCTTAAAGCCCATGGGCATGGGCCATATTAAAAGTTGACCTCAAATGGGATTACAAAGGGATTTATAAAATGGAATCGCTGTCCCAAACAATATACTATAAAAAGAGAAGTAGTGATCTTTAAATATTTTCTTTTTATTTGCTTTCTTAAATTTTGAGTTACAATTTCAATCAGGTCATTGAATATGTTGCCAATTACATTATATTATATTGGAAAATTAAGATTAAGTTTTACCATGTTTTCTTTTCCAAGAATTTAACACGTCATTTAAAATCCTTTTTTTTTTTCAATATGTGTTGGCAAGGGCACTTTGCTTCTATTTCGATATGATTCTGAATGTAGTCCTGACTTGAAACCGCTTGAGAACCTGTGTACTTGAGCTACTAAGATGAATAATTCCATGCAGTTACCTAGATTTTACTGGCCTTGCCATATAGAGACAATCTGTGACTTGCTGAAAAAACAAAAAAAAAAACAAAACAAACAAGATTGACCAGATTTATATTCTAAAAGTGTGTACCTGGGATGGGAAAATTTCCTGGGAAATCTTTTGTTTACTAAAAATCGTTCAGGATCCTGGGAGAGAAATCCTTTTTTAAAGTCGGCTGTTGGTTTATATTTTTAAATTTTTAATTCAAACATTGATATGTGCTATGTGTGAAGTCTGCCATCATATCAATGAGTGTCATGACTCATTATGTTATAGTGGATACAGGTATCCTTCATATCAATCATAAAATCATATGGAATCACTTTTACTTTTGTCAAAACTTTTGAAATGAAATTGTTTGAATAATGATAAAATGTTAGCTATAAAAAGTAGACAGGGGAAAAAACATTAGGTCTAAGCACAAAATTCATTGGATTGAACCTTATTCTTTTCTAACCCAGCCTTTGTTTAACTATTTTTTATGCAAACCTAAGGCAATACCTATGTAATAAATTAATAATTATGTATATATTTTTCTAATATTAAGTAGGTCTGAATAGGAATGGCGCATCAGATGAATATTGTTAAAATGAAGATAAATCTAATCAAAGCACAGAAGGCAGAATTACATGAGTCTGTAGATGCCTTTGTAAATAAGGTTGGTATAAATAATAAATAAAATAAAAATTGTTAATTATCCAATTTTTGATAACACTGTTATGAAGCACACAAATCTCAATTTCATTTTGATCTCAAAGGTAAGTACATCATGATAGTCAGTTAAGAAATCAGGGATCTAAATTTAAGAACTAATTTTGTTTAAAATTTTTTAATTCAATTTTATGACAAATTTATACTTTTTTTTTTTATTGGTTAAGCATAATTTAAAATATTTTAGACTAGACAGTAGACACTATGGGACACAAGGCAACAAAAAAACTTAGGGGGGTCCTCCATTGTTTCTAGGTGTCCATACCAAGGGAAAAAGGGAAGAGATTATCAAAATTCTGTAAAATTATCATTAAAGCTTTCCTTATATTGTTATATTGACACAAATTGTTGGTGTCTAATTAATCTGATCAAAACAGCATTGTTAAATAATAACAATGATTTTCATTTCTTGTTGATCACACACAAAGACTGTTGAGCAATAATATTGCTTATAAAAATTATTATTCAAAATGTGAGGGTATAAGTTTTTATGACATGTCTACATACGTCAAATGGGGACCTAGATGATTGACATCATTTATGGATAGCTCCAATGGAGAGGAAAGTCAGTTCTCAAATGCAGGTGATAAAAAATGGCATTGAGATTTGTGTTGACACAAAAACAAATGATGCTGGGGATGCTTCTAGTATGGACACCTATACACTGGTCAGACATAGTTGTTTACTTTTATGAAATATTTTTTTTACTTTGTCTTGCATCAACGTGTATACTTGAAGGCAAGGTTCTAGTTGTCAAAACTTGGAGATGTAAAGCATCTTTTCTTTCAGCATGCACCAGACTCACTGGAAACACAAGCCCCTGCTGTGAGTAATGTGACAGAAATAAATGCAATCCTGGATACAGTGTTGGTAATTTTGGTGCAGACTTGTAGTGCATTTGGCAGTAAGTATTTCAGACTTTTTGAAAGCTATTTAGTTAAAATTATTTAACTATTGTATTTCTCTAAGGTAGGCCCACTAAATAAGAAATGTACAGGTTGCCTGTTGCCATAGATACATAAAGACTTAAAGAGCCTACATGCCAACCTTCATAGGTAGAAAATCAATACATAATGTACGAAAAGCTAGAGTTCAAATAAAGAAACTTTTAGTAAAGTTGAAGTACCAGGCAAAAAAACTGACAGCGTTGTGTACATGCCTTACTCATAGGGCGCACTAAACAATTCATCCAAAGTATTTCTCAGTCACAAAAATCAGCTGTTAAATGCCATGAACTTGAGTCCCTTGATGAAAATATTGACTTAAAAGAGTGAGTATTATGATTTTTTAACAGCCCGGGGAGAATGATAGTAAATTCCATTAGATTGGGGAACAAATGAATTTTTATATATTTTGGTCCCAACTTTGAGGAAAAGAATTCTCCTTGACTGTGCTGATCTTAGGTATCTGTAATGAAGAGAGAAGGATGTACTGGTAGCTTCAAAACCTTTTTAAAAGTTTTACAAGTGCACATTGGTTTAAATATTTATTCAAGCGAATGTAGTTTTATTTGAGCGATATTACTTGCTTTCATGATAAGTCTATTTAAATGGTGTTTGATGGGAAACAATGAATTCCCACCAGCAGGTAATTCTGAAATACAGAAGGCAACCCATTGTTGCACTGTTGAGTATGTTTATAATTTGTTTGCTAACACCAAAATTGTGTAATATTTTTTAAGGAAGAAAAGTCTTTGGTTAACTTTTTATATAGAATTAGGCTGTGGTCATGCTATGTTAACTTATTATTAATGGTGACACCTAGATACTTATGATGTCTCTACTTGCTCTACACTGTTGTTTTTTAAATTGTTTGATCTGAATTTTGGTGATTCCCCCAACAGATATTGAGAACCACTACTATGTTTCTGAGACATGCAACTGAAGAAAATTTTCATCCCACCACCAGATAAAACTTTTACCGGCATTTATGTTGCAGTATAAGCTTTCCCTTTTAGATATTAAGCTAACGATGGTGATGACATCAGCAAATTTAATGATTGAAACAGTGTTGCTTTGGGTTCTGGATATTATTATCATTATTAAAGTGATCTTATATAGCGCGTATCCCAGCCTAGAGCTAAGCTAACTGCGCTTCACTTAAAAATTAGCAAAAAAGAAAAAAGGAAACATGACATTAAAAAACAGTTACATAAAATTATTCATTTAAAAACAGCTTTGTAAAAACATTGACCTAGCCATGGACGGCACCCAGCAGCATCGAGCATTATTGGTGAGAGTGGGGTGAGAATGAGTCGGAATAGTAGTTTGACGAGATGTGTCTTGAGTGCAGTTTTGAAGGCTTGGATGGTCGGTACATTGCAGATGTGTTATGGAAGAGAATTCCATTGTTTGGGGGCACAGAAAGATCATTCACCATATGTTTTAGTGCATATCTTGGGAACAGAATGAGTAGGTGTGTCTTCGGAGGAACAAAGCTGCCAAAGATGTGAATAGACAGAAAGAAGATCAGTAATATAGGAAGGGCAAGAATCAGAGAAAAAGTTGTGACAGAGAACAGACAGCTTGTAATCAATGCATACCTGTAAAAGGAGCCAATGAAGTGATGTGATCACGTTTCTTTGCCTTTAGAACTAACCTAGCAGCTGAGTTTTGAACTTTTTGCAGTTTTTCTATGAGGCGTTTTGGTGAACTGGTTTATATTGTGTATACAGGCCAGGGAGAGAAAACAAACTTAAAAAAGTGATGCTTGATATGTGTGTATATGTCATATGTACAATATAATCCCAACAAATATCATATGTTTGTGTTATTAAAGGAAGGATATCTCATCTTCATCTCTCTTCTTTAAAAAATATGTTAATCTCACTTCTATCGACTTATGTAAACTTGTTTCATTATCAAATTTTTCACATTTCAAATTTTAATTAACCACACAGAATAAGTCACTAACTTTATTGTTTTCAGGTGAAATTGAAAATATTACCCAAAACATTCCATTGTTGACATTCAAAAAGCAAAGTGCTTTAGATCAGCCAACTTCTGATGTAGCAGCATCAGCTCCTTGTAAGTTGCAAATCTCTTCTACATTTGTTATAAGATTTGTTGTTATTATGTTTTCAAAGTTATTTGTAAAAAAATGCATTTTTCTATGAAACAAAAAGGAAAAAAAAAGCAGTAATAGTAATTAGTTTTTTAATTATCTCTTGTGTAAATAAAAAAGAATCCAAAACCCACCACTGTTGTCATATCACTTGAAATCACTGAGTATATAGTTTTCATTATACAGCTTTAATTGAGTATGCATTCATTCCTTTTACAAATTTTAATCAGTTTAAAACATAACTACCGGTAATGCAGTTTAAATCATGCACAATAAACTGACTACTACGACAGTTGAATTCTGAAGGGTCTGTTTTTACTGGATTTTGGGGGTGGGGTGGCAAGACCCAAATTTCGGCAGTGTCTGCTTTACAAAAAGTTATTCAAGAAATAGAAGGGGAGGGGGCCAGCGGCGAGACAAGCAACTGGTAGTTTATTGTTTAACGGACAATCCAGCAGTTTAACAGGGTGAGGAAGTTTTAAAAAAATACGACAAAGAACCTTGTTATAATATGAACTAAATAGAGGGCTAAATAAGAACAGGATTCAATGCTCCATGGCCCACATATTCACTGCATGACTCTATCACCAACCCTAGGTTATATTAAATCAGTGTTTCCCATAAGGGTGGTCCATTGTCAGAATCCCTAGTAAGACCAAAGTTATAATTATGCACATCAATATACTTCCATTGAAGCTCTTTATTTTGAAACAGCCATGAAAACTAAACTTAAAATGGCTATCATTAAATGGTAACAGTTAATAGAGTCCTATAGAAATGGCTTATCTTAGGGTAAAAAATATTTTATGACACATTTAAGATCAAATTAAAAGAAATAAATAATGAATAAATCTGGCACCAATTCCTGGTGCAGTGGAAGAGTTTGGAAGAGTTTTCCACCTGTCAAACTTAAAAGTTTTGGTAGCCCAGTTTTTAATCATGTGTGAACAAGTTAATGGTTTGTGAAAAATGGCCATTAAGCTTATTTCCTTATTCTCAGGGGTCTTAAATATGCAACGTAGGATTGAAGGGCTGGAAACAAGAACAATCCATGAAGAGCTCCCCCACACAGACTTAGAAAAAGATAACCAGACACTGAGCAAAATTGAGGAATTGTCTGATAAAATACAACTTTTGAACTGTAGATTAGAGGACATGGAAAAGAAACAAACTACTAGTTTTGAAAGAGCATTGGAGAATGCTGCCAATGTCAAAACCATGGTCCAACAAATGGAAGATGAAAACAAACAAAGTTTTATCAGCAAGAATGATTTTACTGATTGGATGGTAAAGATGAATAAATCTGTAGAAGACTTGGGTAATAAATATGATGACACCCAGTATGATTTGGGTAATTTGATGGAGCAGAGCAAAGAATGGGATGAAGGTTTCAAAAGCATTAAGGCCGCAATGGTCACATTGGAAACAACTGAAGAAAGCATTGAGAAATGTGTAAGAAAACAGCTTGAAGACCGAAAGGTAGAAGATGTTGAGGAGTCTGGCTTATGCCAACTAGAACAGAAGGTTGAAGACTTAGACAGCTTGGTATGAATTTATTGAAAATATTTTGAAATTATCTTCCTGTAATTGTAATTACGAATGTTATGTGTTAGGCCTACCTGCAAAATGTATTATTTTAGATGGCATTTTTATGATAGGTAGTAAAATGTTCAAAGCATAAACATAAACATAATTTTAAAAAATTTTTGTCATTGTAAAAGTTGTTATTGCTAATAATAGATTATCTGGATTATTTATTTTAAATTCAATGGCATACACATTGTTGGAAATAAAATATAGGGCCTATCTTACTATAAATTAAAAAAAAATATTTAAGTTTTAATTGCAATGGATTTCTTTATAAAATGAAAGTGCCGCTAACAAGATAAAAGTTGGTTTAATTGGGACTGCAATAAAACTTAAGTAGACTCATAAACACCAATGATATATGTATTACAAAAGTAAATTAAACACATTGCTTTTTGCTTGGTTTTGATTTATTTCAATGCTATTAAAAGATTGTTTTATTCCATTATTTTTCGTTTTAAATTAAAAGTTATTTAAATATTTTTGGAAAAGTCAGTGTTGGAAAAAGTTTTTTTTGTTTTTTAAAGATTATTTTTTGCAATAAAATTCTCTCTATTCCAGTGTAGGCAGATATGTCAACTGGTCGCTTCTAGACTTGATTCCTTGTTTAAACTCCAAATGATTTTGAACGAAAAGAAACTCAAGGATGAGGTAAAAGACTGTTGTCCTGCAGTTCAGAAATTATTGTTTCATTTTTTACTCAAGTGCCTTTGGATTTTTTAAATAGCACAACCTATATTTTATTAATATAGACTAATAATATATTACCCAATTCACCCTTCCAATCCCATGTCAGTTAACTTTATATTGCAAACACAATATTTTTTTAAAACCCTTTTATAATTTAAAAAAAATTACTACTCTATATATATTGATTGAAAGCTGTATGTCTATCGACGAAACATGCAGTTTATATATGATTCTGGTTCTTGCAGTCATAGAAATTTTAGCGGCTACAGTTATAGAATTGGGAACCTCTTAAATAATATTGTAAAGTTAACTAGGAATACTTATTTATCTATTTAGATCTCAGGCAACAAAATATTTCAAGAACTTTTCATATTAATTGTACATTAATATATAATTAGCACAGTCCAACACAGTATTTGTTAAAAAATCTGCTAGTAGGTAATGATATGATTTTAAAATAATTTTATCATTGTTTCCCCCAGCACTGTGCAAGTATTTTTTATCAGATTAATGAAAAATATGTTTCAATTTTTAAAATGTCAACTTTACCAACATACTTTATTTCTAGATCCAAACAAAAAGCATTCCAGAATATTCCTATCCTTTACTGTCATTTGGTAAGTCATAATTGAGCCAAAAAATATTTGGAGCTTCCATAAATCATTGTTTTTAAACGTTCTGCCAGTTTCAGAAAAATGAAGTTACTACTAATGTGCTGCCCCCATTGCGTTATTTTTTTATTTCTATGATGGTCCCTGGCTAATGGAAAAATATCAAAAACGGAAGCTAATGTTATATTTTAACAGTTAAGAGTTATGAACACCACCATCTGGTATTATAGTTTCTGCGAAAATTATATCCAAATTTAAAATCTTCACATCCCGGGCTTTGTTAAAAGAAACAAGTTCTTTGATTGCTGTCTATTTCAGCGGCTTTTAACCTTTTTGTTGCTCTGTATATTCACAAATAACTTTCTAGATATTACAACAGTAATATTAAGCAAAGTGACTTATGGTAGTCCGCCGTGCTTATGATGTAAGTTGTGACATAATTACTTCATTGCTCTTGCGAATCAAAGAGTGGAGGGATTCATAACAAAAATTTGAAAGAGTGCAGTGCTTCCTAAGTGTTTTCAATATGCCTCACCTCATAACCTACAGCAATAACCACAAAGTCTGTTTGCAGAACAGAATACTCATTTTTAAATTTAAAAAATGTATAGTAACTGAATGCTGAAAGTATGAATAGTTTCTTTTTAGAGTAACCCTTTTTCAATAAAAGCCATCTGTATTTCAATAATAATTTTAATTTTTTATATTTAGTTTTAAGAATAAGACTGCCATTTTAGGTCTTTCCCAGCAGCTTCTTTTTAAGCATTAACAGTTAAAATCAACTGAAAATTTCTAGGAGGAAGGGGCACCAACATTTTGAACTGCCTGGGATGCTAAAATTGCTAGGCTGGCCCTGGATAGAGTATTCCTGCACCTAGAATTATTGCCACCTGGGATGGACCAAAATCTTTTCCAGACCTTCTTTTAACGAAAAACTCAGCAGTTGGATGAAAATACAGCACCTCCAAAAAAAAAGAAAAAATATCGCACAAGACTGAACCCCCCCAACCACCCTGGTTTCTAAGCCACTGTCCCAGAGATCATATGTCCTATAATCTACAAATCGCCTCCCTGTGTGTGTGTGTGGGGGGAGGGGTACATCGCAAGTTTGGAAACATTTGTTTGGGTGACTTGACTTCATTTTAATTATCTTGCAGGTCATACTGGTTGATAACTAAATAGATTTTTTTCCAAAGAATTTGGTCTAATTTATTCTGTATCTGATTTCCCAGAAGAGGGTGCTTGTTCCCAAGAGGATAATGACAATGATGATGACAGCAATGAGGACAGCTATGGCTTTACAGCCTACTTCGATGCTGTGTGTTCTGTTGAACAAAACGAACAATTATCATGCTTCGCTGACATCCTTCATGATGAGTCAAACGACTTTGATGAATCCACAGGGGAATTTACAGCACCGATCAGTGGACTTTATTTAGCCTCTGTTGGGTTAAGACAGGTGGGAGATGGCAAGATAAGGGTGCATGTGAAATGCAGGTCAGGGAATGGTCAGGTTGCTGTGGTCTGCAAGGCCATGAGTTGCGGAGATGGCTCAAGCAGCTGTGGTATTGGTGTTGTTAGGATGGATGCTGGGGACACGCTTTTTGTTAAGGTCACAAGTATAGAAGAGGAGCCTCAGCTGTCTCCATTTACAAGTTTCACATGCTGTTTGTTAAATTAACGTAATTCATTACATAAATACGACTCAATAGGTTGATTCATTTTGTCAACTGTGATAATTGGAAAGAAGGCAAAACTGAACACAATTTGAAATTACTTTATAGAGACTTTCTTCAGATTGATGGTGTCCTACTTGTTTGTATTAAAAAATAATGCTTTAAATACCTAGGGGATTAATTGATTACATTTAACCCCAATATCAGAATGTTGAGGATTTCAATTAAGTGTTTAAAAAAAAAAAAAAGTTATTATGCATTTATTTTAATGAAGTTTTGAATGTAAAAAAAGAAAAATGATAGAGCAGATAAATTTTTTTTTAGTGTACATTATGTCATAAATGTTTTGTTTTACTGTCATTTCTAACATATTGCCAGTAGAGATTAGACTGCAACTACAATGTATGTTTAAGGTTTATTCTGCCTTAATGTTGCAGTCTTCAGAAGTTGTACAGAAATAAACCAGTCCCTAAAAATAAATAAATCCGTTACATGCATTTATGGGGGATTTTATGTCATTCTACATGATTTATCATTTATGTGATTGTAGCAACTGATTTGGGAATGGTTTATGTCATTCTACGTGATTTATCATTTATGTGATTGTAGCAACTGATTAGGGAATGGTTTATGTCATTCTACGTGATTTATCATTTATGTGATTGTAGCAACTGATTAGGGAATGGTTTATGTCATTCTACGTGATTTATCATTTATGTGATTGTAGCAACTGATTTGGGAATGGTTTATGTCATTCTACGTGATTTATCATTTATGTGATTGTAGCAACTGATTTGGGAATGGTTTATGTCATTCTACGTGATTTATCATTTATGTGATTGTAGCAACTGATTTGGGAATGGTTTATGTCATTCTACGTGATTTATCATTTATGTGATTGTAGCAACTGATTTGGGAATGGTTTATGTCATTCTACGTGATTTATCATTTATGTGATTGTAGCAACTGATTTGGGAATGGTTTATGTCATTCTACGTGATTTATCATTTATGTGATTGTAGCAACTGATTTGGGAATGGTTTTTATTTTTTTAACTAGTTCAACTAAGATGACTTTTTTTTTTCTTTTTTTTTTTTATACTGCAGAAGCCCATAATTAAAGGGATTTAAGCCATAAAACTTTTAAAACGTTTTTGAAATGTATTATCTTTCTTTAATCTTTGGCATAAAAAAATTGACTTTTTAATAGAATGTGTTGCCATTGGTATGCCACGTTTCAGCTTGATAGGATGACGAAAAGTGGGTCAATCAGTCTTCCAAAGATCTAGCCACAAAGAAACATAAGAATAAATTGAAACAAAATTGAAGTTCATATATTATAAAGGATTTAGAATTGAAACCCGTACACTTGTTATTCTTTAAAGTTTTTACTTTGGGAAAACTTAATGGATATGGGAAAAGAAATGGGCATCTTGAGTATGTATCTTGGATCTGTAGCTTGAGTCTGTCGCTTGGGTCTATAGCTTGGGTCTGTAGCTTGGGTCTGTAGCTTGGGTCTGTAGCTTAGGTCTTTTGCTTGGGTCTTTCGCTTGGGTCTGTAGCTTGGGTCTGTAGCTTGAGTCTATAGCTTGGGTCTGTAGCTTGGGTCTGTAGCTTGGGTCTGTAGCTTGGGTCTGTAGCTTGGGTCTTTAGCTTGGGTCTGTAGCTTGGGTCTGTAGCTTCACCTTAGCCCTGTAGAATTCACTTTCCTGAAATCAGTCCAAAACCTGTAACTTTTGTCAGGCTTTGGAACTAAAACACAAGGAGAACTCCAGTTACTAAAGCTTGGCTCAATTGTATCATTTTCAGCATGTACTTTATTTCAGACCGGACTATTTCAAGCTTTTCCGGATCGATCCTATAGGGGTGTTGATTGACCGGAACTGAATTGCCAATGTCAACATCATCAGTGATTATTTCAGATTATTTTCCCCGGGGGGGGGGGGGGGGGGGGGGGGGCTCACTTGGCTTCCCCACCCCCCCACCCCCCCATTGTTGGTTTTATTACGCACTTTAGGGAAAAGTGAAACCAAATCTGCAATAACAGACTTAATAACATCCTTCTCTGACAATGACAAATGTCCTAGTTTCTGATCTAAGTTGGCCAGTATTTCTGAATTTTTAAATTTGTAATGACCAACTTATTCTAGGACACTATCAAAGGTTTCAGTAACATTTTCTTTAGGTACTGAGGTTAGAGTTGAGATTATGTTAACATTAGTTTCTGAGGCTGGACAATTACCATCACTTTTTCTTTCAACATATTCTTTTAACATATTAATGTGACATAACTGTTTCTTTCTTTTACGATCTGGTGTTAATAAAATGTAATGTAAGTCATTAATTGTGGACTAAACTTCATAAGGACCAAACTATCTAGCCTGCAGTGCCCGCCCTGGTTTTGGCAAAAGTACAAGCACTTTGTCCCCTGAAACAAACTGACTGAATTTGGTATTTTTGTCGTACCAAACTTTCATTTTAGAAAATTAAGGGACCGCAAACGGTATCGCAATAAACAAGTTCAAAAGGGCTGAGTCTAAGTGATTCTTGAATTGCTTCTCTTGCGGCGAAAAGTTCATCCCAATCTTTCTCTCGTTCTAGGCAGTTTGTTCCCATCATGTTCTTCAACGTCTGATAGAATTGCTCAAGTGCTCCGTGCGACTTAGGATGATATGCACTCGACAAGCAGTGTTCAATACCCAATAGGTTCATCACTTTTTTGAAAAGTCCAGCCTTGAAGTTGGTTCCTTGGTCAAACTGTACGGACTTCGGTCATGTTAACAGCACATGCTTGATATAACTAGATCCAGATCTTCTTCTTGAGACTCAGTCAGACAAGGTTCATGAGTAACGATGGCTTTGGCTATCACCGTCTCATCAGCTAATTCATTGCCTTCCGATGGTAACGTTGGTCGGACACCCACAACCACAGGTCCGGAGACTAGATCTGACTTGAGATTGATAATATGTAAAGGAGCATCAATGCAACCCGCCTCGTAACAGGATGCTGCTCGCAGTAGTTTCAGACAAGGCAAGTATACCCTCAAGTAGTAAGGACAGTGAAGCACGTGTATTTCGCAAAGTTTTGATTAGATCGTAGACTGGAAAAATCGCCTGGCAGTGATAAAAATCTTTCCGATATGAAAGGGATAAAGTCTTAAATAACATCAGTAGTTTCTAATGTAGAAGTTTGGCCCAAGGTGGTAAACTATTGTTGGAATCTTGAGAACATTCGGCTAGGGTAGAGGAAGTAAAACTCTGTTTTTAATTTATGACTCGTGGATAAACAGTACACAATAATGGATGATACCATTAATTAAATACAGTAATAAATAACGATACCCAAACTAGGGTTTAATACAAATAATAATTTATTAAGTTAATTTTAAAATAAAACTGAGGCTATTCACCTACAGTACGGCAATGAACTGGTACTGGTACAAATGTTGGGAAGATGCACACAGACAGTAAATATAATGTTCAATAGCAGTAAAGTCTATCAGTCTATTAGTCTCGCTCACGCTCTTTGTCTCAAAGTCTCTATCTAGTTCATTCCGCTTCCCATGTCGATCGGCTTGTTTATAGTCTTTCACAGAGACTTTTCCAGAAAGTGGTTACACATTGTACCTGTATCTCAGCCTGTCTCGTATGTTCTATGGATTGGATGTCACGTAAATGTCGTCTGACAGGATTCGCTTGGCTCTAGCATTTATCAGTACCTAGTATAGATCATAGAATGAGAACCTTTTAAAAATTCTTTATATTAACTTTGCTTTTGTTCGTGTGCTTGTGAAATCAAAATCTCCAAACCGCTAATTGACCCACTTCCCGTGATCCGATCGAGCTGAAACTTGGCACATAGACTTGTTGTTGATGACAATAGCTTCTTTCAAATTTTCAGCACCCCCACCCTAAAAAAACCAGTTTGAACATTACCAGATGCCACTGATTTAAAAAAAAAAAAATTAAAACAAATAAAATTCCTGATAATATAAGATGCTTTTATTAACCGAAATAAATGGAAATTTGTTTTGAGTTTTGATTGCATTGCACCTATTGTTTTGATTGCATTGCACCTATCGTTTTGATTGCTTGCACCTATTGTTTTGGAAAGTCCTTGAGAATTTGATGTTCCTCAAAATTGGTCAGCAGCAAAGCGTTTAGAGGATCAATATTTTTGTTTGAAAATGCAATGGTTGTGAAGAGTCAAAATCTCCACATATAATTGGCATAAACAGTACACAAAAAAGATCCTGGCTAGATCCTGAAATGGATCAAATACTTCCTCTAAAGAAAATACAGATCCCTGATTAATCAAACTCGAAATCGATACCCTTACTGGTATTTAAATTATTCTTTTTATATGTATAGGCCGAAATTTAAAACAGTTTAATCCAGTAGGCCATGTTTACATTCTTGGTTGCGCACCATTTCCAGTATTTATTGGTAGAACACCGTCTCCACTATTTGTTGGCATAGAATCTAAAGAATGCATATTACATCCGCCCAATGACCCCAATCGAAGCACTGCATGCCAACTCTTACCCTACGATAAATTGGTTTGACCTGTCTTCTAAACTACAAGCGTTAAAAATGACCCTAGTGTCAGTCTCAAACAGGGATGATCATTGGTATAAAGTAAAAGAGATCTCTATTCCCCTCATCCCCTTTTTTTCTTCTTCACGAGATGACGTCACGTATCGGACGCACCTAACCTGCTGCGAAAACCCCCCCCCCTTTTTTTTTCCTCCCCCCCCCCCGACCTGATTGACAGCTATAATTGTGGCCAAGCATAAATATATGTGGTTCAGAAAACCCACCTTCGTGCCCCACTCCCGAAATTTTGTCCACAGGATTGACACAAGTGTCAGAAATGTAACAGAACATCGGCGGTCACATTTGTCTCCATGTTGGTCCCGGTACACGTCACCACGATTGTCTCAAGGGTGTCCACTCACATGAGACTACGAGACGAACGTTATCTTAAGACAAGATGCTGGGTGTTGGTCCAGTATTTTTAGCAGTTTCCTTAACAGCTTTCTTAGTTGTGACAGTTCAATGTAAGTATGAATTATCCATTGACGATGGTCAGCCTTAAATGTCAACTTACCCGATGAATAAAGCAGCCGGGCATAAATTTTGTTGTGAGCTTTAAATTCGTAAATGTATAAACTTTCCAAAATATAAATAATCATCCATTTTCAATCCGACTCCTGGTTTTCTTTTTTAAACATCTGTTGATATTTCATATTTTAAAATGAGAAAACCCGATAATAACCGTGCTATGATGGACGCGATAATCAAAGTGCTATGATGGACGCGATAATCAAAGTGCTATGATGGACGCGATAATCAAAGTGCTATGATGGACTCGATAATAACCGTGCTATGATGGACGCGATAATAAAAGTGCTATGATGGACGCGATAATCAAAGTGCTATGATGGACGCGATAATCAAAGTGCTATGATGGACGCGATAATAAAAGTGCTATGATGGACCCGATAATAAAAGTGCTATGATGGACCCGATAATCAAAGTGCTATGATGGACCCGATAATCAAAGTGCTATGATGGACGCGATAATCAAAGTGCTATGATGAACCCAATAATAACCGTGATATGATGGACCCGATAATAAAAGTGCTATGATGGACGCGATAATAACCGTGATATGATGGACCCGATAATAACCGTGCTATGATG